GTCCTGGGCGCGGCGGGCCGGGCTGGGGTGGCTCACATGTGTAATTGCCACCCCTTTGCGCGTGCTCCGCGTGACTTTTTAGCTAGTAAACTTTCAAACAACAAACAACCATTCGATTCGTATGGGCTGGACCGGGCTGGACGTTTTTCCTCGTCCGTGGTACCAACAAAGAATCTTTCAAAGACTTCTCGCTGAATGTACAATGCTCGCTGCGATTTTATTTTTGCTGGCGGGGCGTTAAAAGGCCGTGGGTATCGAGTAAAAACAAACCAAAACGCATCATAAGAAATATAATAAAACAAAATACATAAAAAAGGCTATCATCTTCGCTGCGAGGTGAGCATAACGACCTCGTGATTGATACCTGTGTTTGATTTGGCCTTGGGGCGCCTGGGACAGTAAAGCCAACGCCTCGTTAACGTGCGCTTCATGACATAAGTTCCAGCCGTTAGGGCAGAGGAAGAGAGCCGTCATGCCTTGTACGTTATGTTGCCATGGGACGGAGTGTAATTACGGCTATGACAACTTTTATTTTCGCGGAAAGCTCCCGTATGGTTAAATATTTTTGGAACCTGATTCAAGAGGAGGCATTTCAAGATATGACTTTCTTTGAGAACCGTTTGGCGTTTGGTCCGTTGCATCGGACCTCTCGCCCAGCGTTGCGCCGTCTGCTAGACGTGCAGCGGCGGCGTTGACAAGGAATTGATTTCTTTATCCCTGGCCTCGGGCAGACACGCCGTAAAAATGGAATTGCAGCGCAAATATAAAATAAGTATATAAAATGCATACACAAACAAATGTATTGAAAGCTGCCGTGCTCCTTCTGTGTGCGTGTGTGTACGTGTATGTGCATGGTTTACGCTCTCGACATCGTAAAGGGGTGCGCCGCTGCAGTAGCATCCAGAGCGCATCGTGGGGAAGGGGGGAAAGAGGAATAGGGGAGGGGAGGGGAAGATAAAAAGAAAGAGCAGGAGAAGGATGTGGGGGCAGAGAGAGAGAGAGAAAGACAGAGAGAGAGGCGAGGTGAGAGGTGCGACGAGGGGTAAAGGCCCTTCTTGAGATGGCTCAATTCCTCCCCACCCCTTTCCCTCCCCCGTCGGCAATCTGCTGCTGCTTCTGCCGTCGTGCGACGCACTGCGCCGTGGAGAGAAACATTTCGTGTTTTTTTCTCCCCCTCCCCGCTCTCTTTTCCGCTTGCGCTTCGCGTCGGAAGAGATGCAAGGGTTAAAGAGCGAGCAGCTCAAGGGGAAGCGGACAGCAGAAGGCATCGCAGTACACAACCTTGGCAGTCCTGAAGGTCCTACTACTTGTCAAGGACCTTTTTGCCTCGTCCTGAATGTTGATTTGTCCGCCTCTGGAAACTCCTTGCTCCTCCTCCGCCTTCCCTCTGCCCCTGCTGCTCTTCCTCCTCATCCGCATGAATAAAGGTTCTGCATAAGTCATTATGTGGCGCGACCCGAAATCATCCGCGAGAGCACTGCTGCTGCTGCTGCTGTTCGCTCCCCGGGCCCCGGGCCGCGCTCTGAGGCTGACGTCTCGTCGGCCCCGTATTACCATTCATGTGTACCTCGCGAGTTTAAAGGAGCGCGCGCTAGACTTGCTCGACGGGGCTCGCCTCCTCCCTCCCCTATCGCTCGCCGTGGATGGATTAACAATTCAGATTTTTCGGGTGTGAAGCCGCCGCGGAGATAAACACGCCACTGGCCGCGTCTGGCGGGCTGGAAGGGTTGCCCCTCCCCCC